AATATAAATTTCATTGCATCCAGATCTGATGATTCTTGTGGAACAGTTTTTCTAAAAAAATTTAATTCTTCGCACAAATCCATTTTTGTATAAGACTGAATTTAATTTTAAATGTAAATTTATACAAAGTTATTTTAATGTCTCCTCTGACATTTACTGTAACTCATGAAAGTCTTACAAGCAACTGAGTTTCTTCATGAGTTGTACATAATTCAAAATGCCTGTTTTTTCATTCTATTACTGTATCTTCAATTGTAAGGAAAATTTGTTTTATTTTATTTAAAAAATTTGTTAACATTTATTTATTTTTGAGAGACAGAGAGAGACAGAACACAAGTGGGGGAGGGGCAGAGAGAGAGGGAGGCACAGAATCTGAAGCAGACTTCTAGGCTCCGAGCTGTCAGCACAGAGCCCAATACGAGGCTTAAACCCACAAAGTATGAGATCATGACCTGAACCAAAGTCAGACGCTTAACCAACTGAGCCACCCAGGCGCTCCAGGAAAATTAATTTTAAATGGGCTTTCTTATTAATAATTTGTTTATCTGAAGCTTCAAATGAAAACAATGGGTTTTTTTCTCTGTCCGGTGCAACAATCTTTACATTTAATTTCTATGGGGCGCCTGGGTGGCTCAGTCAGTTGAGCGCCCGGCTTCAGCTCAGGTCATGATCCCACGGTCCGTGGGTTCGAGCCCCACATCGGGCTCTGTGCTGACAACTCAAGAGCCTGGAGCCTGTTTCAGATTCTGTGTCTCCCTCTCTCTCTGCCCCTCCCCACCTCATGCTCTGTCTCTGTCTCTCTCAAAAATAAATAAACTTTAAAAAAAAATTAAAAAAAAATTTCTATTTCTATGCCTGTAGATATATACTTTGTAATGTTGCAGTGCTTTTCAAAACTGTAGATGGTAAACTCTGAAGAATTCTGATTACTCCTGGATGTGCTTTATTGCAGTGTCCACTGTGGGCGCTTTGTGATAATTCAGTGTCTTGGGTCTTGGGTCAGAGTTAAATATTTGTGCAGACTCTACAGGGACAGGTTCCGATGATGGATGGGCTAGCTGGCCTCGCACTGTGGGTCATGGCACTACCCAGGTCTTTGCTGTCTCCCATGGCTGTGGTTGCTGCTGCTCTCACAGCCACCAGTCTGGGCCCAGGTCCCAGGCTTGCTGCCTTGGGGCCTCCTGCTACCCTGGACTGCTCAGACACGTGGGCGTGTGCCTGACTGCCTAGCTAGTTGCTCAGCGGCTGGGTTGCATGCCCTTAGGCCGGAGCCCACTGTGCACTCTGCAGCCTGGTGTCTTCACTGCTCGCTCACATGTTTCATTGTCCCATCAGACTTTACCTACAGAATACAGGCTCAAAGATAAAATTACCAAGAATTCAAGATGGCAACCGCAAAACATTAAATCAAACCTGGGGCCCATCTGGGAACCGGGCTCTGTGTGAGTGGGGTCTCATGCCCATGAATCTGGCACACAGAGAATATAAATGTGGCTGACGTTTTGAATTGATCACTGTACCTATGAAGATCCCTTCATTTAAAGTTGCTGCGGTTGATTTCTTACTTTTGGCAGGAATGGAGGTAGGAAAATTAGTTTTTTTATGTTAGACAAGAGAACAGTGGGTACCAAAAACACGATTGCATCTGGCTTTGAGAGAAAATTCACAGTAATCAAAAACTTCCTAACAGATAAAGATGGAAAGGATGATTTCACAGTCCTTAGCAGTTGGTTCCACACTGGATACTCATGTCTCCAGGCCTCCTGCTGTGCCAGGCGGTAACTTTTGGTTACTGGTTGGGGAGTTGGGCTTGGACCTTTACCAGCTGGTGGGGAAGTACTGCCTGTAATAGAAGAGAAACTGCAGAGATTCCATCCCTTAGTGAAGCTACTGAAACCTTAAAGGACTGAGGTATTAAATTTCCCAGAAGGGCTTTTGATTCGAATTATTAAATTGAACCAACCATATAAAGTTGATAGAGGTTTGTTCTTTGACCTATAAAAATGGCAGTTTCATATGTTCCAATATAATACATACATTCAAATTAAATTCAAAGCTGACAAAAACAAACTAAGCAGTGGTGATATTAATTATAGATGATTGAGATGCACTTACATAATCATAGTTTTTGCTTTATTTATGATCTTGAAGTAAAAATAATGTATGTAAGTGCTTATTCATAAGTGTCAACAAAATTCTACTTGATTTTTTTGTAAGGAGAAGATTAAGAGTATAGCAGTGGGTTTTCCTTGACTTGAAGTCCTGTCAGCTGATGGGATTTCTCCCAGCTATTTGCTGTCCGTGCTCCAGCTGGCAGGATGCACCTGATGGCGTGAACAGCAGCAGACGGATCAGGCATGGGGCAGAGTCCCTGCTCCTTTCCAGAGTCTAGGAAATGAGCCCAGACCAGAAGACAGAAACCCGGGGTTCTAGCGCCAGCATTGTCTCTAAGAAGCTTTCTGTTCCTGAAGCAGGTTGATGAATCACCCTGCCTCAGTTTCCACATTTGCAAAAAGATCTGTGTACCTTACAGGGTGATTTGAGGGTGAGAAGATACGGTGAAGTATTTGGGTACATACTCAAATGTTTTAAAACATTCTGAAATGTTTTTTCATTGTGGAATAATTTTAAAAATACAATTACAGTACTATATGATCTGATTTGCACAGTTGATCTAAGACTTCAGAATGAAGCTCTGTTGCGTTAGAATCCAGGAATCCAGTGGAGAGAGGGGCATCTGGGTGGCTCAGTTGGTTAAGCATCTGATTCTTTTTTATTTTTTTTTACATTTAAAAAAATATTTTTATTTATTTTTGAGAGAGAGAGAGAGAGTGAGCGAGCAAGCATGAGCGGGGAAGGGCAGAGAGAGGGAGGGAGACACACAATCCAAAGCAGGCTCCAGGCTCTGAGCTGTCAGCACAGAGCCCAACGTGGGGCTCGAACTCTTGAAACTGTGAGATCATGACCTGAGCTGAAGTTGGACACTTAAACTGACTGAGCCACCCAGGAGCCCCAAGCATCTGATTCTTGATTTAGGCTCGGGTCATGACCTCAGGGTCATGAAATCAAGCCCGAGAAGGGCTCTGCACCGGGCATGGAGCCTGCTTAAGATTCTCTCTCTCCCTCTACTCTTCCCCACCTCTCCCCCCACCCAAAAATAGAATGCATTAGACAGACACAGTGAAGCAAGTAAGAGCTACGCAGGGCTATTGTAGCTGTGGAAGTTTTTCAGAAATTCAGTAGGTGGCACTCTGTGCTGTGTTAAGACAGAGTTGGCTATTGTTTATACGGTAGAGATGAAGACGATGCATAAAAACGCATAGGGTTAAGTGTTTATTACAATTTCATTATTAAGGACCATATTGGCCAAAGATAAATGGACTGAGATGGTCATTTTACTTTGGGAAAAGAAGAGAAGTAGGAGATGTCAGACAAAAAAAAAAAGAAAAGGTTGCGAGAAAGCGTTGATAAATATAATCTCAGAACTTCCTATAAAATAGAAATAAACTGGTGCAAAAAACAAAGTTATAGTACAGGTACTTTGGAAAAGGAGAATATTTACTGTATGGAATTTCTTTGTATGAAATTACAATTCTAAGATAGGTTCAGGGTCTTTTTTTTTTTTTTTTTTAAATGAGCAGATGATTAGGATCTAGGGATTTTTCAGAGAAAACAGTTGATGATTTATTATAATGCACAGCATTTACAACACTACCTGGAGATCATGCCTTGCCAGTGGCATGTCTGTTAGCGCCTGTTACTGGCTTATCAACCACATCTACATCTCTGGGATCTTGCTTGAAGTTGACAGAAACAGTAGCATATCTTTCCTGAGGTTAGAACAAGATGTCTGTCCCCTTTCCTTTAAAAGTAAAATGGCTTTCCTGACCAAAACACTTTTTATGCATGCATGTTTTCAGAGGTATGGATATGTTCAAAATCACAGGAACATTATAGGCTATGAGTGGAGCACTAAACAAGTTTAAGATCAAGAGTATGGAGGCCAGCTGCCTTGAATCCTGCCAAGCATAAGTAATTGCTTTATTGTAATTTGTGGTAAAGAAAATAGAGGAAGCAGTCCTCTCCCATATTCTGCAGATATACAAGACTAAATGGTGAAGTCAGTGAGAAAGAGAAAGTTAATTGCATACTTACGGTGTGCCAGGCAAGGTGCTTTCATTTGCAATATATTATGTCCTTTCCTTTTGGTATCTTTGTAGAAAAAAAATTATTTTCGCTTTTGCTGTTATGCTGTTTTTTTCAGAATAGCTAAATAAGAGGGTTAGGCCATATTTGTGAGTCTTCCCCCTTAAGACAAATTGAGTATATATTCATAATTTATTGGCTTCATGATTCTCTTATCATAGACGCGGAGTCTCTCAAAAGAACCATAAGTTTTTTTAAGAATTTACACAGAAGAGAGAGAAGTCTTTCTGCTTGGGGGATTTCCCAGAGAGCTTAATCAATTGCGTGGCTTAATCTGAGCATTTACTGGAGTAACTTCATGTAATGGATTTAATAGCCTTGGGAAAGTCAGCCTCAACTACCAGTAGTTCCAAACATGATGCATTGGTTAAACAGAATACCACAGGATCATTTCCCTTCTAATGTTCTTATCTTTTGCTATCTATCAACCAAAACAAAGGGCCTCTGTTTTGAGTGACCAGATGTGTCTCGCCCCTTCCTAAATACCACCAATCTGATGTAAAATTATCCAAGGGAAAAAGACTAAGAGTCTAACAAGAGGATATTTAAGGTTACTTTTAATTTTTATTTAAGTTTCTTTTTGTGTTAAATACGCTGTGGTAAGTTGAGGTTTTCATTTTTCATGACAGAATTAGAGAAAAGAATGAATTCCAAGTAGATGAAACTCTTGGTTCAGACTCCTGAGTGTTCACATTAGCTTTCTGAATTTCTGAATGGCATCCCCGGACACTGCAGTTTATCTTCAGTGTGATTATTTGATGTATGGCAACTTTTCAAACTTACTGTTCCTGCAGGTCAACTGATGAAACATTCAGCCTGGCTGAAGAAACCTGTAGTTCTAATCCGGCCATAGTTCGGAGGAAGAAAATTGCCATAAGCATCATCTTTTCTCTGTGTGAGAAAGAAGAAGCACAAAGGAATTTCCAGGACTTCTTTTTTTCTCATTTCCCCCTTTTTGAGTCTCACATGAACAGGCTGAAGAGTGCAATTGAAAAGGTAATAAGAATGTAATCTAGGGGCACCTGGCTGTATCAGTCAATAGAGCATGCAACTCTTGATCTCAGCATTGTGAGTTCAAGCCCCATGTTGCATGTAGAAATTATTTAAAAATAATATCTTTAAAAAAAAAGACTGTAATCTTGTGTCAAATAGAGAAGTGATTATAGGGCTTAAGATGGTAGAATCTCATGGTTTATGATCAGATCCCTTTTTTAGAGAACTTAAATCACCTGCAACAGTAATAGATCCTTTAATACATTGATATTAGATATCAGACATTAGATTGTTTTAGGAAAGGAAATGACTGCTTTCTGATGACTTAAGTCATTACTACAGTGAGTGTTTTCATTATACTAGTATTTTATTAATAAATGCCCAGTGGTAAACAGTTATAAAGGAGTTTCTTCTCAGAAAGTAAATTTTTTTCTCTCTTCAATGAAGGCCATGATCTCCTGCAGGAAGATAGCAGAATCAAGTCTCCGTGTCCAGTTTTATGTCAGCCGTCTGATGGAAGCTCTGGGAGAATTCAGGTACGTTGACAAAGTCTGGCAAATCCAACAGGATAAATTTATAAGTGGCAGTAGCGGTGGCAGCCATGGATCTGGGGATACATGGAGACATTACTTGGAAGAATTTAGGGGCTGGCAATTACTGGTCACTTTAGCAGCTCCTTCCTTCAAGATGGAAACCCAGATCAAATAGAGCAGAATGTTTAAGTCACACAGCACCACATAATCCACACTGCTGCCTGACAGTCTTTGATTGCTTTTAATGAGATGAATGGAGAAAACTAATATTTATGTGTCTCTTATAAGCCTCTTCATTATTTCATGTCATCCTCACAAAAGCCCTACGAGTAAACACTATTAACTGACCCCACTTTACAGTTGTGAAGGCTTGAGTTCAGGGACACTCATCCAGAGCATAGCTGGAGAGGGGCACCTGGGTGGCTCAGTCGGTTAAGTGTCTGACTCTTGATCTCGGAGTCGTGAGTGTAAGCCCCATGTTGGGCTCCACACTGGGAGTGGAGCCCCCTTAAAAAAAAAAATTTAAGGGGCGCCTGGGTGGCTCAGTCGGTTAAGCGTCCAACTTCAGCTCAGGTCACGATCTCGCGGTCCGTGAGTTCGAGCCCCGCGTCGGGCTCTGGGCTGATGATGGCCCAGAGCCAGGAGCCTGCTTCCGATTCTGTGTCTCCCTCTCTCTCTGACCCTCCCCCGTTCATGCTCTGTCTCTCTCTGTCTCAAAAATAAATAAACGTTAAAAAAAAAATTTTTTTTTTTAAATTTAAAAAGAAACAAAAATAAAAAGAGCACAGCATAGCTGGAGAGCGTATATGTGTCAGGCAGATATACCTTCCAGCTTACCAGGGCAGTCCTTGTTTATACCCAGTGCCCTCTCATAAGTATTCTGGTCTGAATATTAAATTAGTGTGTCTTCATTATCAGTTTTTAATTCATGATCTTTGTACTCTGGAGACTGGTTTTCTGTAGTCTTTCCTCCTAATATCTGAGTAGGAAGGTGTAGTGTAGAGGGTAGGACTCTCCTTCACCATGCTAACCTGGGGTTCTTGCACCATTTCTTTGAGCCAGTTTCTCAATGGGGAGTGGAATCATATTCCGAAGCCGTCATGAACTAATAAGTCAAACTGTTATTCTGTAGCTGAAAGATAAAAGAATTTTTACAGGGGTGCCTGGGAGGCTCAGTTGGTTAAGCGTCCAACTCTTGATTTCATCTCAGGTCATGATCTCACAGTTCATGAGATCGAGCCCTGCCTTGGGCTCCACGCTGACACCCACACCCACACCAGTGTGACAGTGTGGAGACTGCTTGGAATTCTTCCTCTTCCTCTCTCTCTC